TATATATATAGAGAGAGAGAGAGAGAGAACATTTTTACATTTGTCAGCTGTTATGCCATTTTCATTTATTCATTTCAGACTCTCTTATCCAAAGTAAATTGCAAATGACAATAATACAAGCAGAAGGGATTAATCCAGCATTGTTAATAAAAAAATAATAATAATAATACAGTCATTACCATTAATCATTTTTAAAAGTTTCAGAACGTAAAAAAAAAGATTAATGCTAGCATTTATTTGTCTTTGTAATGTCTTCCACCACAATTGATTTATTCATAAATGTACTGTCTCTGATGTTATTGGTTTTTATTATCTTTAATTATATGAAACACCACTTCACTGAATATGCCAGCCATGGGTAAATCATTAATGTATTTTTTTAAATCCTGCTGTGGTTTAATGAGACCTTCTATGAAACAAGAAATGGAAATTCATTAATATAGCACAGTAGGTTTAATGTATTATTATTGAGTTTACTTTTCAGAAAAAGAAAATAGCCAATGGAAGTGTCACCGCAGTTGTAGATTGACCCTAACCTGTTATTTTAATATCAGTAGTGTGTGTATTTAATGTGCAGGTTTTGCTCTCTCTCTCCTTCCGTTTTGACTTTGGCTTTTTGTTGTCTTCTCTTTGTTTTTTCTCTGTGTATTTTCTTTCTTCCTCTTCTGTCCCTGTCTAGTCTGTCTTCTAAGGGGATTTAGAAGGAACACACACACATACACACTATCTGGGTCAGACGGGTCACATCTGAGGCCTGTCAGAGTTGCTGTGTTGTTACACAAGCATATAGCCAGTGTCTGATGTTTGTTTCATGTGTTTTTTAATGATATCTCTCCAGCTCACTCCTGTCGGTACCACCATCTTCACTGGCTTCTCAGGAAACAATGGAGCCACGGACATCGATGACGGACCAAACGGACAGATCGAATACGCCATTCAGTACAACCCAAATGACCCGGTACTTCATCAGATCAAACAGACCTTCTGCAGTTACACTCAAGTTCTTTATTGTAATTAATGACTAATTTAAAGCAGTGACTTTATGAGTGAACTTTCAAACTGCAATGTTTTATTTAAAATAGTGCAATCTTTCTCTGTCTCTCTGTCTCAGATGTCAAACAGGACCGTGCGTGTTTCTGGGACGCTGTCTGGTAATATTGTTTTGGCAGAGCGGCTGAACTATGAGGAGAGAACTCGCTATCTAATTATAGTCCAGGCCAATGTAAGATTATTAACACATAAAATATCCTTCACTATCATACAGTGTTGTTCCTTTATGCCTAATACATTTAAGAGGAGTGTTTCAGGGTAAATGCAACAACAGCTATAGTGACATGTTGTTGATTACCACAGAAAATAACTTTAAAAATGGTGATTGCAATAATGCACTTAGGGTACAAAAGATTGTTGCTGTCTTTTGGGCAAGGCTAATGCTGAGATAAATGCTAAGGTTTTGAAAGTGCAGCCACAAAGCTTAAACATTATGAATATTCATCACGAGACAAGTGTGAAAAAAAAATCTTACCATGTAATGCCTTGTAAATTTTGTGAATATA